CCAGACATCTCTGAAGGAGATGCCGGATCAACTTGCTTGAATAAGAATCGGATCAAATCAAGCCATCAGTCCAGGAAACAGGGATATAAATCCTTAAAGTTGGTGAATACAGGAGATAAAAGAGATCCTGAAGCTTTCTTAGAATTCCTCCCCAACTTTAAGCTTGTCATGTCCTTCTCAGGGGAACCCATCCTAAAACCTGGACAGGTTCCATTTATTATCTGATTCTTTCACCGCCTTCATCTGTCTTGGCTCATGCAATCAGTTTTTCTCGGAAGAGTTAAACTTGTCGCTAGAAATCACACACTCCTTTGAAAACTACAGTTAGTCCTCGATTTACAAACACTTCATTGAGTGACGGTTTGGAGTTACGAGAACACTGAAAAAAAGTGACTTATTGCCATTTCTCACACTTAACAATCGTTGCAGCCTCCCCGTGATCAAAATTCGGATGCTTGGCAACTGCTTCATTATTTATGATGGTCGCTGTGTCCCAGTGTGTGTGTGTGTGTGTGTGTGTGTGTGTGTGATGTGATCCCCTTTTGTGACTTTCTAATGAGCAAAGTCATTGGGGGAAGCCCGATTTGCTTAACAACCTTAACTGCAGTGATTCACTTAACAACTGCGACAAGAAAGGTCGTAAAAAGGGGCAAGACTCACTTAGCAGCTGTCTCGCTTAAGAACAGAAATTTTGGGCTTAATTGTAGTCATAATTCGAAGACTGCCTTCCTTGATAAATGGATCCACCTATTCCATACAGCCCTGGTTTCACACACACCCCCCAGTCCTGGTCCACAGTTAGTTTAACCCAGCATTCTAAGCTAACATTTGGCCAATCCTATAATGGCTCAACCTTCCATGTAAAGTCAACCATACCTTCTCACTCCGTTCTGGGGGCCAAATCCAGCAACTTTATCATGCGCCCTCTTTACTACTTATCAAGGATAGTGAGTTTACACCCAACATTGCTTTCCTATCCTCTCTTTTATATCAAGATTTGAGGTAGTCACTTATATAAAGACTGAGGAACTATTTCAACCTGCAAACCTGTTTTAGTAGGCCACTTACTGTTTGACTGTTCTGTTTCTCCCACCTCTAAAGGAGTTCCAAAACTAACATGCATTAGGAGTTAATCAGAGATTAAAGAGCTAAACATAGAAAAATGAAAGAATTATATAATAGGAAAACAACATATTTCCTTACGAGGGGGAAAAGCCAAGTTTCTGAGCAGTAGCTGTTCAGATCAGCTACATCTCCACTCACAGGAATTATCTTGTGGGTGGAGGACAGTCTAAAAACAGCCCATATTAGAAGAGGCACCACCGGCCCTCATTTTTAATGATCCTCTCGACAGAAAATCCATATTTTGGGATCAAGGAATAGAAACCAGGCTGGAGTCTCTGTTGAGCTTCAGGATTGCCCTAACTAAACCAATGTGTTTTAGTTCAACCTTGATGGTGTAAGACTTCAACTCCCAGAATCCATTTTGGCTGGGGAATTCTGGGAGTTGAAGTCCACCCATCTTCGAGTCGCCAAGGTTGAGATACACACTGCTCTCCAGGAAAAGGAGGCACTTCCATCTCTTATGAAGCTTCTAATTCTTTGGAATAGATAGCTGCTTGTTTAGCCCAGGATGCTGAAGTGGCTCACCCACCTTCCTTCCCTGCGACACGCTTGGCTAGTTTTTTGGAGTCCGAGCAGTCCCTTGGACAATTCCCTTCTTACTGGTGCCAAATGAAAGAATCACTTCTGTGTTGACTTGGTCTTCTCTGTTGACACCCAGAACTACCTGGCCGCTGGAACCCAGACACACCTGCCCTTCTCCACACCTGTCCAATAACCTGTTTCTGAACAGGTTATTGGACAGGTAAGCCAAACTCCCCCCCATCCTGCCAATACACACAGGTCAGTTGAGCAACTCTACCACACAGAGGCCCTTTGCTAATTTCTAATCTTGCAGACCCCACAGACAGAAGATCTCACCTACCCTTAATATACTCAGGTGGGCCGTGTCCAGGGCTACAGTTTATCTCTGGTGAGTAAGGGGGGTGGGGGGGGTGGGGAAGGTTATTTACAGGTAATCCTCAACTTATGACAACCGAGTTCAGCATTTCCATGGCTAAGCAAGACAATTGTCTGGCCCCCTTTTCTTGCCACGGATGCTAAGTGAATCATTGCAGCGGTTAAGTCAGGAACGTGGCTGTGAAGGGAAACTGCCTTCCCCGTGGCCTTTGCTTCCCAGGAAAGGGGATCAGGTGACACTGCCACCGTCATAAATATGAGCCATTTGCCCAGCGGCTGGATTTTTGACCGCGTGACCCTGGGAAATGCTGCAGCAATGGCTGTAGGTGTGAAAAACTATCCCAAAGCTCTTTTTTTCCTGTGCTGTTATAACGCTGAACGGTCACTAAACGAATAGCTGTAACTGGGAGGACTACCTGTATTGACAAATTACTCTTGAAAGAATTTGCTCCCTTTCTTTGCAATTGTAAAAAAAAAAAAGAGAGAATTGGGAAGGAGTCGGAGCCCTCCCCCCACACACCTCGGCAAGTTGGCGAGAGGGAAAACCCACAAGCTGAGGCTGGCAATGGAGAGACCCCCCCCTCCTTCCCCACAACCTATTAATCTCCCGGTCCCAATGCCAGGATGAAGACACACACTGCCCTCCCTCTCTCCTCACTCCAGCCTGCAGGAAGGAGCATCTGAGAGAAAGCGGCTTTTAAAATGTATTATTCCAGGCAGGAGGAGCACTCTGAAAAGAAAGAGGGAGGGGGGGGAACTGTCATCCTCTTTCTCCTCTCGTGTCCCCCCCCCTCCTTCTGGGATTACTCTCCTCCTGATCACCCTGGTTACACAGCCACCCCTAAATACACACAACCCTTAGCAGGGATAACAAAAAACAGGGCTGTGTGATACCAGCCTGGGGGGGGGAGGCACCCAAAGCAGAGTCACTGTTCCCCTCCCCTTCCCCCTCTCCAAAAGTCTCAACTGGGGAGGGGTCATCTGCAGACAGGGTGGCAAATTCGGGGGGGGGGGAAGAGAAGAGAGATCCCCTGCAATTAATCAATCAGGAGGAGAACCAGCAAAGCGGCCACCGACTGACTGACTGACTGACTGGCTGCCTGCCTGCCTCCTCCTCCCCCCCCCCCGTGGGTTAAACAAGAGAGACAGCTGAAGTCTCCAGTCAACAACGCGGCCCTTGTTAATTCTGCAAAGTGGCTCCTTCAACCTTACCTCTTAATCACTGGCTGAGAAATCAAAATACTTTTTTTGGGGGGAGGGGGGGTTGTTAAAGAAATGAGTCAGCATGGGTGGAAAGAGACGGAGGAGGAGGAGGAGGACAAATTCACCACAACGCAAAAAAAAAAAAAATTAAAAAAAAAAGCAGCCAACTAAGGAACTTTGGGAGAAGCGTTTCCAATCGAGTTGTAAAAGAAGTTTGATTTATTTTTTATTTTCAACCCCCCCCCTCCCCACACCACCACCCGCGTGGAGGTGGAAGATGGGCAAGCAGAAGGAACAGAAAACAGATGTGGACCCCTACAAGCAGTTTACCAGGATGGCAGTGGGGTGTGTGTGTGTGTGTGTGTTTTCTGATTCAGACCTTTTCACCCTTTAGAAAAGGACGGGGGGGGGGAACAGCCCCGTGGGGATTTCAGGATGGGTCCTGATCGCGTGGGGAGGGGGGGGCAAGAACCCTTTTAAAGATAGAGACCCACCAAGATTTCAGAAGCAGCCAAGGGGGGGGAGGGGCATCCTCATACACAGAAGGAAGCTTTACCCCCCCCTTTTTTTTTCTTTCTTTTTTCTTTCTTCGGCTGCAAAAGGCTCATGGTAAAAAAAGTCTCGGCTCGGCGCGCGACTTCTACCGACCCCCCCACACACCTTTTTTTCCCCCTTCCCGCGAAGCCCGTTAAGCCCCTTCTGCGCAGCCAGCCTTTCCTCCGGAATAAAGGGAACCGGGCTTTTCCCCCCCCCCTCGCTTCGCGGGGAAGGGCTGCGGGACCCCCCCCACCACCCGCCCCACCAAAGGGGAGCCCGGACCCATCGGGCTCCGCGTTTCAAAGCCCCGCGCACCATTGAGAGCCGCCTTCGCATCTCTGCCCCTCTCTCCACCCTCTCGCCCCCCCCACGCAGCTTCGTGACAGGCTGAAGGGAGGGGGAGCGGGGGCGAAGGTGGGGGGGGGCTCCAGAACTGCGGGGTGGGGGGAGGTCGAGCCCACCGTCTCTGCCCCGGGTGCCCCGCGGGGGGAATGCGTGGGGGGGCGGTGGCACCCCTGTTCCTGCGTGGGGAGGCGGGTGAGGACGAGCGAGTCAGGAGCGCGTCTCCCCCGCTCGGTCGCCTCCGCCGCCGCCGCCGCCGGCAGCTGCTGCCGCTGCTCCCCAACCGGCCCCGCCGCCGAGACAGCGACACTTTGTCTGCCTCCGCCGAGCGAGCGAGCGCGCCCGCCCGCCGGCCCTGCCCTTCCCCCGCTCCGGAACGAGCCTGCTTTCCGAGAAGCCGCCCGGTGGCTTCCCTCTCGTCTCCGAGCCCCCGCCGCGGCCCGGAGCGAAGAAACAGCCCGCCGGCAGCCAGAGACCCCGGGGCAAGAGGGAAGGGAAGGGAGGGAGGGAGGGAAGGAGAGAAGGAAAAGGGAGAGAGGAAGGAAGGAAGGAAGGAAGGAGAAAGGAAGAGAGGAAAGGAGGGCGGGAGAAAGGGAGGAAAGGAAGGGAAAAAAAGAGGAAGGAGGGAAGGTGAAAGGAAGAGAGGAAGGGAGGGCTGGAGGGAGGAAAGGAAGGGAAAGAAAGAGAGGAAGGAGGGAAGGAAGGAAGGAAGGGAGGGAGGGAGGGAGGGAGGGAGGCAGGCCGTGGAGACCGCTGGCCGAGCCCCCCCCCCGGTTCTCGTCCTCCCCCGCGGGGCGCCTGTCTTGCGAAGATACAATGAAACTCCGGGACGAGAGAAGGCAGAGCGGCCGCCGCGCCCCCCCGCCCTCCCTCCCTCCCTCTCCCCCCGCGCTCACCGTGAGGTGCGGCTCCATGCGTGGTGCTTCGACCCGCGGGGAAACTAGGAGCATCTTGGAGCGGCGCTCGCCCAGCGCTTGACATCCACTTGGAAGCGCGGCGGGCGGGCGGGCGGCGGAGGGGCGCGAGGCGCGGGCCCTGCCGCTTGCCTGCCTGCCTCCTTCCCGGCTCCGGCGTGGCCCTCCCTGGCTCGGCTCGGCGCGGCTCCGGCCTCAGGTCCCCGACAAGTTCATCCCGGCGGCGGCTTGGCTAATGAGCCGCTGTCTGGCTCGGCGCTCGGCGCTCCCCGCCGGCCCCCGTTTCCTGGCCGGGGGGGGCGGAGTGGGCGAGCGGCGCGGCAGCCCATTGGGCGACGTCAGCTGGCGGGGCGGGGCCGGCGCCCCCGCCCCCTGCCCTGCCCGCGCCCCCGCCCCCCGCCCGCCTTAAAGGCGACGCTGCGCCCCGCCGACCGGCCGGCTGGACCAGCGAGGACCGGCCGGCTGCTAGCGGAGGTGGGATGCTGCGCCTGGTTTCCCCCGCTCCCCTCCTCCTCCTCCTCCTCCTCCTCCTCCGCGCAACTCCCGGCCTGCGCCGACCCGCCATCCTGAGCGAGGGATTTTTAAGGGATCTCGGCGCAAAGTCCGCGCAGCCGGCCGAGAGCGAGCCAGCCAGCCAGCCAGCCCGCGACCCCCTTTCCTCCTGGCTGGGCGAGCGCCGACTCACTCGCTTACTCACGGTCTGCCCGGGCGGACCCGGGCGAACTCCCCGGACCGGCTGCGCCAGCCTGGCCTCTCGCCTCCCTCTGGATCCGGCCGCCGCTGCCGCCGCCGCCTCCTCCTCGGTGGAGAGCCGGACCTTTTCCTGGACGCAACCCGGGGGCGCCGAGAGCGAAAGGGGAAGCGCGTCCCCTGCGGGCTACGCTGTGCCTGCAACTCCAGGAGGCCTGGGCTGAGGACCCTGGGAGGAGAGGATCCCATCCTGACCGGCTGGACAGCGCCCTGGGACTCCAGCTCCCATAAGCCTTGCCCGAGGAGGTTGACAAGAAAACCAAGCCTTTGACCCCTGTCTGGTTGTAATTGCTGTCCTAGGTATGGCTCCCTCCCTGGTGGATGTCTGCCCAACAGCCAGCCCGGTAGAAGAAAGAGGAACTGTCCATGGGATGCTGTGGCACATGGGACATGGCCTACCTGGATCTGGGACTTTTGGGGGGCGTTTGCAGGAGATGGATCTCCAACTTGGTTGGAGAAGATCAACTCTCAAGGCCAAAGCAGTGGCAAAGGGTTCAAGGGCCAGAACACCAGTGAGAGCAACCTTCGCTGTGATAATAGCAGGCACACAACTCTACAGCGTTAGTGTGCTGGGTCGGTTGACAGTCTGTGAACTGCGAGTTAGGGTTGAATGCTGGGTGCCAACTCAGTCACCGGGCTGTCTATCTATTTATCTAAGTCCTCCAAATAAACAAATAATTATACAAAGGGTCCTTGGTGCTCTCTGAGCTTGCTTGTTTCCTTTCAGATGTTTCATTCCCCAAACTAGGTAACATCAGTGCTGTAAGTCATTATATAATAATAAATAAATGATTCTTCTCACCAGTTTAAAAAAGGCAGCTCCGGTTGCTCAGATCCTTTACCAGGGACTGGTGCCATGACGCTGTTAAAATCTTTGTGTCCTCTCTCCCAAAGTGATCCGTTTTCTGGAAAGTCTGCACCGCTGAAGCTCATGCTGTGGTTTTAAGGATAATATTGTCACCCTCCTCTTTTGGCGTTAAGATTTTTCATTAAGAACTATTTTTGAGCAGTACTATCACCGTTTAAGCCGTCTGTGACTGGAGAGCTGTAGACGAAAGGGAAAAAAGACGCCAACCAAACGATTTCCGCTCATTTTAATCTCTCCTCATTAGAAGTAAACTCTCCCTTGGGTCAAATGGAGCTTTTGGAGATTTCACGGACATCTCCGTGTGGTTTTCTGGATGAGACAAAAGTATTTGCTCGTCCCTGCTTCTGGACTCTCCATTCAAGTTTCTTCCTGTCTTGCAGATGTTCTCAAAGTTCCCCATTCAGGAATTAACCCAGATCAACCCTGCTTAACCTTTAGGATCAGCCAGGATTGGCTGGGCTTCGTTTAGACCCCGCCAAAACATTTTTTTTTAAACATGCAGACTCCCCACTGCATCTTTCACATACGAGGCATGGCAGAGGGTTTTCTATGCCCTGTTCAAGCAGCAAATTCTCACACCCAAAACAAGGTTAGGAACATTTACTTTGCTCAGGTTGAACAGGGCAGAACCTTTAGCCCTGGACGTCTCTGCTTAGCCCTGTAGACGGGATTGCTAGGATCACCAAGAGTCACACACAGCTGAATGGATACCACCACCATCATCTGACAGTGGGAGGGAGGGAAGGAGAGGGAGAGAGGGGGGGAGAGAGGGAGGAGGAAGAAGGAGGGAGAGGAGGAAGAGAGAGATGGGTTAAGGCAGGGCTCTTCAAACTTGGCCCTTTGATGACTTGTGGACTTCAACTCCCAGAATCCCCCAGCCAGCATGCCTGGCTGAGGAATTCTGGGAGTTGAAGTCCACAACTCATCAAAGGGCCAAGTTTGAAGAGCCCTGGGTTAAGGCACCTGGGTTAAGGCTAGAATTTGGCGCAGCAGTTAGAGTGCAGTACTGCAGGCCACTTTAGCTGACTGTGTTCAGCAGGTCAGCAGTTCAAATCTCACCGGCTCAAGGTTGACTCAGCCTTCCATCCTTCCGAGGTAGGTAAAATGAGGACCCAGATTGTTGGGGGCAATGTAAATATATATATATATATACATTGCTTACTGGTGTACACTGCTTAGAGAGTGCTTGCACTTAAAGCGGTATATAAGTCTCATAAATAAATAAATAAATTCCGGAGAGTGTGAGTTCTAATCCCACCTTAGACATGAAAGCCAGCTGGATGATTTTGGGCCAATCACCAGGAGACAGTGAATTCTAGTCCTGCCTTAGGCTTGAAAGCTGGCTGGGTGAATTGAGGCCAATCCCCAGGACAAAATGAGTTCTAGTCCTGCTTTAAGCATGAAAGCTGGCTGGGGGACTTTGGGCCTATCGCTCACTCAACGCAACCCACCTTGCTGGGCTGGTTATGGGGAAAATAGAAGGAGTATTAGATATATTCACCCCCCCCCCGAGTCATTTATAAAAATAATAAAATAAAATTTAACAATAAATGAAAACGGAAACAGTCTAGGACGGGTTCATTCTGTTCTGCGCACCCACCCACCCACCTTTGCTTCCCCAAAGTTGAGCACGTGACCTAAAAATGCAAATTTGGCTGAGCTCAGGGCCAGTCCCGTGCGGGAAGCAAACAGCAATATACTGCGCCAGCATCTTGGTATGCTGCTTCCGTCATTCTGATGGAATGTTATCTTAGCTGGAAGAAAGCCATTTTGAAAACAATACGCAGCAATTTCTTCAAAGCAAGTGGGGTAGTTTGGTTACCTGTGATTTAATTGCCAGGGACACGATGAAAGCCCGTCAGTTAGATTAGCTTGCTGGGATCTTTGATCGGAGCTCAGTTGCAACTCCTGGGCTACTGTTGTATCATGGTTGCTAGTTGCTGCTTCAGCCATCTTTCTTTCATTCATTTCCAACCCCCAGCCCCAAAGAAATAATGGGATCCTAAGCAGCCTTTTATGTCTGGATCACCCATTCTGCTAAAGCAGGGGTAGGCAACCTTGGCTCTTTTATGACTCGTGGACTTCAACTCCTGGGTGGTATCCCAGCATAGCTGGCTCAGGAATTCTGGAGTTGAAGTCCACGAATCATAAAAGAGCCAAGGTTGCCTATCCTTGGGCTAAATCATGGTTTATTTGACCCTGGCGTATTTCACAAACAGGGGAATCCTAGGTGCTGTCTGAGCTTCGTGGTTGGCTTAGCAATGTTTCATTATCCAACTAGGTAACATCATCAATGCTGGTAGAAGAATGGATGATGTTATTTAGCTGGGTTATGAAACGTTTGCAAGCCAACAACCCAGTTCAGAGAGCTACCAAGGATTCCACAATTCAGTTTTAACCCACAGTTGTTCTCTTCCACTGATTTCATAAACTGCAATGAACTGGCTGTGTTCAACTGGCTAAGCCAAAAGACCGCAGGCAGAACAAAATCACAGCCAGGGTTTTTGGTTGTTGCTGGTTATTTACACAACCAGGAAGTCGGTTGGATATTATTGTTTCCAGGTCTTCGTTGGCACCTGGCTGATGCTTAAGGCTCAATTTAAACTGCTGGTTTCTACCCTTCAGTCTCGAAAGCAGATCAATACTGTATCTGAGATACAATCTACCAGCCAAAGACTTTAGAAGAATGTCTGTTCTATGTTCCTCAAATAGCTGAGGTCAGCTTTGGAACTACGCAAGGAAGAAGGACCTTCTCAAGGGCAGCTGGATCTGGAATTTCCTACTTTGGGGGCTTAGCTGTCCCCTTCCTTTCCTCTTTTCGATGGGTGAGAGGAAATAAAGCATATCAGGAACGGCTGCTGGAATTGGGTATGTCTAGTTTAATGAAGAGGGGGCCGTGCCCTCACTGTTTCCAGAATGGCTTCGTGGGCCACATGAAACCACTTCGTGGGCCGCATCCGGTCCCCGGGCCTTGTGTTTGACATGTCTGACCTAGAGTAATTGTGACACCTGCAAAGGCCAATGTTATTTTTTTTTTATCAGCAATGCAAGATGTTGAAGATGTGGTCCCCTCTGTTTTTAGAAAGTGCAGAACAACCCAAAACAATCATTTTGCAAGTGTCTCCCAATTAGATAAAGCTTCTGGCTTCCTCTTATTCACAACCGTTGCCGATTGTGTTTCCCCCTTTTAAACTGCAGTGGGGGGACGAGACCAACTCTAATCCTATCAGCGCAACAAAAGTCCTTGTGTGCTGCTGCAGATGCAAAGGAGCCTGAGATACATCATGTATGCTCAGATAAGAGTATTTAATTACCTTTCCAGGAGATTGCATTGTGTCCAGCGGAGCCCAGGGCACTGCAGCCGTCATAGGAACAGCCTGCCTCCAGAAGTTGTGGGTCTCCAGCACTGGAAGTTTTTAGAGAAAAGATTGGATAACCATTTGTATGAAATGGTATAGGTTCTCCTGCTGGAGCAGGGGGCTGGACTAGAAGACCTCCAAGGTCCCTTCCAGCTCTATTCTATTCTAAGGTGCCGGGTGAATTATTTTAGCTCATGCTTGAGGCATTCTCCCGGGATCATGTCAGAGAGGAAGCATCCAGCAGAAAGCTTTGAAACACACACACACACAAACACACACACACACACACAAACCGAGGCAGCAC